CACACACACACATAAAAATCAGCTGTTTTTTCATATTCAAAATTTACTTTGCAAGCTATATCATATGAAGTAATCATAATTATTTTACAAGATATATTCTAAACATAGTATTAGTATAATGTAATTTATATTCTTGACCTTGATCAGTGTGAACCTGAACTATTCTAAATAAAACATATCTAATTCTTAGTCCATCAGATTTTTTTGTTGAGTTTTATAACATATTTTGTATTTGCTGTTATCATCTTTTTATCATTAATATAGCATCAAGAAAACAAAACAGCTCCTATGTCTACTGTAGTGATCTTTACTGTTTATAACCTTAACTAGTTCGTAGCTTTTTCTTTAGCATTTAAAAAAAAAAAAAAAAAAATAGAGACACAAGCTGGGAATAGGATGAGGAGAGAAGTATGAGATAGTAGTCTCAGAGGATGGAAAAGTGAGTAGGTTTAGGAAATACAGTTTAATAGCTGAGCAACTTTAAGGGCGTGCTTGAGGTTAGTGATCAGATTGAGTGTGTTTTGTAGTCATGACACATAGAAACAGTTATTTTAATTTGAGATAAAATTGGTATAAAATAAATAGATGTTCTTGTTAATATTTACCTGTAGGCTAAAGCTTGACGTTAGTGTCAGAATTGGACAGTATCCATTATCAAACACCTAATTGAGTTCTTACTACATTTTTTTATTTTGTGTTTATTAAATTATACAGATCTTATCTGAAAGGGTAAGGGTAGACTCCAAAGAATCATCTTAAATTTTATTTATACTGAATATTAAAGTTCATCCTGGACCCATTGGTGACCTAACATGGTTAGCAGATTTTAATATTTATCAATGTGTGCATGTTTAATATTTATGTATACTTGCAGGTAAAATTAATAAATGTTCAGTGAGTAACAAATATTCACCAGGCATTATGCTAAATATAATGCTATTTTTATTCTTAAAAAGCAGCTCTATGAAGGCAGGATTTTATCAAAATTTACCTATTTATCACCAGAACAGTGTCTTGGACAGTAATTGTATATTGAATGTATGAAAATTTTTTTGAGGGGGTGGGGGAACATTGTAACCTCCATTTATGAAACTAGGACTGATACTATACTAACCACTTTACAGTAAATTATCTCGTTTAGTCTTCCTGTTACCCCTGTGTTAGATTCTATAATTATCTTCATTTTGCACACAATCGAGATTTAGAGAAGTGGTGCTGAGGACACAGGCTAGCAAATGGTAGAGTTGAGATTTGAATCTACTTTCTCTGCTTCCAAAGCAATTGCTTTACATGCTATCATTTCAGTTAAGATTTTTTTGGGTTCAAGTTATAGAAATAAATTTGAACTTGATTAAGCAAAAAAGAAGAATTTATTATAAAGATAAAGGGATGTTTTATGAAAGCCGAGAGCTGTGCATTTGAGCCCAAGGTGGGACTAGGACCGGGAACTAAACCCTATCAGAGCCCAAGGAGATCTCTCTTTGCATATTTTCTTCATTTTTTTTTTCCTTTTTGTCTCTTTTTTTGTGACCGGCAACGGATCGCAACCCTCAGTGTCGCGCCCGTACCGGACCGGGACCGGCAATGGGATCGCAACCCTCGGTGTTGCCCCCGCACCTCGCTCAGCCAGTGAGCGGCCGGTCTGTATGTGGGATCCGAACCCTCGGCGGGAGCGCCGCTGCGCTTCCCAAGCGGCGCACTGTAGCAGTGCGCCACCGGGCCGGCCCCTTTCTTCATTTTTTTAACCCTTCCTATTATCTCCTCTGCCTTCCTTTGCTATCCCTGCTTTCCATCCCACCAAGTCGTTTACATGTTATAGCACCAGTTACCCACAGAGTTCACCAGAAGGTTGTCTCTGAGTCCCAGGTTCCAAATTGGCAAGAGTGGCCAAGCTTGTATGAGATATTTGTTCCTGCTCCACTGACTATGGCCAGGGCACTGATACCCTAAGAATGACAGCGACTATAAAGGAACCACTTCTGTGGGTCTGAGAATATCTCTTGACCTGGGTAGACACCATAACACAGTGATGTTCTGTCTATTCAAATGTTTTTTTAAAACTTCTTTGTCTATGACATGTGATAAATATATTTTTGCATAACTATAAAGGAACCACTTCTGTGGGTCTGAGAATATCTCTTGACCTGGGTAGACACCATAACACAGTGATGTTCTATCTATTCAAATGTTTTTTTAAAACTTCTTTGTCTATGACATGTGATAAATATATTTTTGCATTGCAACTCAATATTTATAAGACTAAGAACAAATCACACAACAATATTTAGTCTTACAGTATGTGACACAGTCTCATATTTTCCCTTTTCTCTTTCATTCAAGAATCTTTTGGTTACAACCCATTAAGTTGAATTCATAATTCAGTAATAGGCTGTGCCTACAAATGGACAAATAACTGCTCCACTGTACACCCAGAGGGACCTAGCTGCAAAGATGTCCTTTGTTATCCATTCTGTGGCATTGCCTTGCTAGTGAGGCTGCCTTGTAGTACAAAAGCCTTTGATAATTTAAGTAACTGAATCTCAAGATTGACCTACCTTGAATTAAGCACTGTTCTGGGGAAAGCATTTGCTAATAGCATTTTTTTTAGAGTGAATTAACATTCAGATTTATTTCTATTGTTGATGAACTATTAAAAAAAATCACTAAAGAGCAACATGCTTAGATCATGCCCCATCTTCCTATTTACCTTTTTAAAAAGCTCTGTGGTAAGCTGCTAGGTTATAACATCACATTCTTTCTTAAGAACTCTACATCTCTAAAGAAGGTTTTGAGGTTTGTTTTTATAACTAAGAGGGAAAGATAGAAATGGAAATCTCAAATTCTTATTTTCACTTAAAAAAAAATTGAGGCCAGATATAACTAAAAGAAAACACCAAACCAATTCTCAGTAAGCCTTAAAGTAAGGTTTTATTTCTGAAGGCTAATAATAAATAATCTAGCAGTTGTTTGGTAATTCTATCATATAAAACTTATTAGGAACCTGAAAGAAGGGTAAAGAAAAATACATCTGGCCAGTCGAAACAAATCTCAAAACCCATGATACTCAGCCCTGTTTACTGAAGGAATCACTCAATTTATTATAGTGTGAGGAAGGGCAAGTCCAGTGTTCCACTGGGTAGTAGAAATGGAAGGGCAAACACTCATTCAGCAGACATTTATTGTATTTTTGCTATAGAGTTTGCGTTTGTATTTTCCTCCTTTCTAAGAAAAGAAGGAAGAAATAAGGATTTTATATTCAGTCTTGCAAAGTCTCTACTGTAGCTTGTCATCTCTATTTTATAAAAAGTTTACTGTTTTCAGTCACTACCAAATTGACAAGTAGAAAATAACAGTCTTACACTGAGATAGATGTAGATGCTGTGATAGATAGTTAGGTTCACTCACTATCTATGTTCCTATACAAAGCCTGACATCAGTAAAATTTTTGGAGTCTGTTGACTCCAAATAAATGATTTTAAATTTGTGAATGCCAAGGATCTAGTGTATTAGAATCTATTTACTCTTTTCTGATATTTGAAATACAAGCCTTATTACTGAAATTCTTATACAGCTATAGAGACAGGATGGATTTGTTTCCTTCCTTTTGCTCAAGGTGGTTGGAGATGGGAGGAGAGAGTTTGGAGGGAGCTGGTTTGTGCTGCTTCCTTCCCCATCTTCTCATACCGTATTGTGGTTATTTTTCAGAGCACAGAAGCTTGGGTGGGTTCCAGCTCCTTGATCAGGATATTCCCACTTGTGCCGTTACCTTTCACTGCCAGCAGTTGCATGTCCATACCCAGACCTTCTGTATTCTCTTGCACTGTTGAAGATGTCTGTCTGTGAGAACCTTTCTTTCAAGGGTAAAGGGCTCCTTAGATTGCCAGCGCTGCTCTCTTGGGCTGCGGTTCCTTTTTTTGTCATATTTGGGCTTAACTTCACTTATTTCTACACAGTCATAACCCTCCTCCCATCTTCCTTTGATAAGGAATAAAATTCATCTCTTTATCTCTTATCCATTGAAGGAGAAGATTGATGCCTCTTAAATATGAGGAACTTAAAACTTTTTCAAGGCCTAACTGGGTTGTTCTCACTTTTAGCTCAGCACAAACTTCTTTGTTGTAATTTAATAACTGTGCCAGTGTTGGTGAGACAGGGACAAAGAAAGGACATTAGAGGGTAAGGCTTCTCTTACCCTTGGTAATCTTTTATTTAATTCAGAAAAAAAAAATACACCTTTTCTAACCTTATTTGTCATGTTAATAGATAGCAGGATATAATCTTTTCTGTCTTTGAGGAGAAGTTTTTAGGAGAAGTGCTTCATATTACATTCATAACTAGAAAGTGAATCACATTCTCATTCAGAACTTTGTGAAGATCCTTTCACCCAGGAAAGGGGGAAGAATTTCTTTCATTCCTTCTTCCCTCTGTGGAGCTGGTCCCTTGCTTTCAAGCTAAAACTGTAAGAAATTCAGCTGTGTATGATAACTGAGGCTTTTTTGATATACTTGAATTTCCGCTTAAGTTTGCTTGGGAAGATGTATGCAGGATGCCAAAGTGATTTACAGACTAACTTTCCTTCTTCCCTCTGTGGAGCTGGTCCCTTGCTTTCAAGCTAAAACTGTAAGAAATTCAGCTGTGTATGATAACTGAGGCTTTTTTGATATACTTGAATCTCCGCTTAAGTTTGCTTGGGAAGATGTATGCAGGATGCCAAAGTGATTTACAGACTAACTTTTGGGGAATGCCCGTGTTCTGAAATGCTGGATACTGTTTTTCCTTTGAAACTAGTAAGACTGGAATGTGTATTTGGCAGTGATTATCATTTGGATTGATTTACCCTTTCTTAATCTAAACTTCTATTGTGTACTCTCTGGGAAGCATTTATTCTTATTACTAATTTTAAATGAAGAATAAACTTTAAACATTTATTAAAATACTAAGAGATCAGCTGAGGCATAGATGACATAAATTATATTCAAAGGGGGAAGGCATTCTGGAACAGCTTTTGAAATTATCTCATTGCCTTTTTAATGTCCTTGGAAACCTGATATCTACTTCATTCCTACCTTTTGCTTACAGTTGAATGTTATTTAATTTACCGCCTATAAGAGTTTTCTTTGTGATATTTATACTTGTTATAAATTTGTTGGTCATTCTTTTGGGTGGATTAATAGTGATTGTTGAATCTAGATTTATTTTAACTTTTTTCTGTTTTATGATTTTCTCATTTTGTTTTCCCCTGGCAGTTACTTGAATAGTAATATGTTTGCCTATTACTAATTAAGGTTTTTCTTTAATAACAGATTTATATCTAAAACTGGAAGATGTGACCCATAAATTTAATAAGCCCTGTATAATGGACGTAAAGATAGGGCGAAAAAGCTATGATCCTTTTGCTTCATCTGAGAAGATTCAGCAACAGGTCAGCAAGTACCCATTAATGGAAGAGATTGGTTTCTTGGTGCTTGGCATGAGGGTAAGATTGATATTAGTATAACATACACATTTCTCTTTACATGTTCTTCCCTTGAAAATTATGGATGTCATTATAATACTAGTATATCAGATGGTAATGCGTTTTGGAATTGGGTTGTCTATAACTTTCCAGTATGTAAACTCTGTGAAGGCAGGGATTTTTATCTCTTTTGTTCACTTACATATGGTCAGTATCTCAGTGGTCCTAGCACATAGTAGGTGATTAATAAATAAATGAACTAATGGCTGAACCTTGAGACAACTCTGGTAATTTTGTTTTAGAGAAACTTCAAGTTTAGGTGCAAAATAAATATAAATAAACATCCTATTATTTATGATTTTCCCATGAGAAAAGTCCTAAATTTATTCAGTAATTTTTCTGTATTTTTAAAATAGAAAAGAGAAATTTAAAGTAAGGTCATTGTTTCAGACTTTGTGAATTAAAACAATTGTTTTATTTGCTCACAATTCTACTGGGCTCAGGTGAGCAGTTCTTTCACAGATCTCACCTAGGTCTCTCTTGTGGCTGCAGTCATCTGATGGCTTGACTGGGGTAGATGGTCTAAAATGACCTCACCGTTATGTCTGAAAGTTGGTACTAATTGTTAGCTGGGCCTTTTTCCAAGGGGTTTCATCCTTCAGAAGGATAGCTCAAGCTTGTTCATGTCACAATATCATATTCCAAGAAGGCAAGAGCAGGAGCTACAAGGGTTCTTGAACTCTGGGTTAGGAAGTTACTTGCTATCATTTCTGTGGAATTCTGTAGGTAGGAGACTGTCACAGGCCTGACCCAGACTGAGAGAGAAGGGAAATAGACTCTACTTCTGATGGTGGGAAAAGCAAAGTCACAGTATGAGTCACAGTGTGTGCAAAGATAGGAAGAATTGTTGAGGCCATTTTGCGAATAGTATGCCACCATCAAGAAGTGATGTGGAATTACATCCTCTAAACAAATGGTATGTCTTCTCATGTGTGGAGGTAAAGTTTATGGATATACCAAATGATTGCTACCTAATGGATGATTTTGAAATTCATCATGTAAGATGATATACAGATTTTGAGTTTTAAACAAAAGAGCTTATAGGCTTGTTAATGTGATAATGATAGCACAATTGAATTTGATATTCTGATTGCAAATAAGACCAGAGAAACCGTTCAAATAGTTATTTCATTTTAGAAAACTATAAATGTGGGGATATAGAAAAGGAAGAAAGGGTAATGGAATAATGTTAAAAACAAGCAAGAGATAAACATTCCAGAGGAATCTGACTGGGCAACTATTTAAACCTCCACTGTTTTCAAATTTCTCCCTCTCTTGCTTTCCTTCCCACTTTTAGCACATGACTTTGACTTCTGCTTCAGAAAAAATAAAAGCCATCAGACAGAATTTTCCTTAACTTCCTGCTAACAGATGACATGTCTTACCTGCAGTTGTTTTTATTTACTCATTATTTCTTGCTGTCACGTTGAAGAATTTTCCATCCTCCTGTCTAAGGACAGCCCTTCCCTGTGTCCTCTGGAACTCATTCCCTCCCACTCTTCAAGAACCTTATACTGTTAATTCTCTTGTATTTCTTACATCTTCAACTTCTGTCTCTCTTTGCTGGCTTTTTTCTTTTTGTTTTAAGTATGTTAAATCATTGTCAGTTTTTTAAAAAAAAAAAATATCAAAACCCATCTTTACCCTGCTTTGCTCTCTAGCTGCAAATTTAATTGTCTTCCCTTCACAACCAAACTAGTTATTTCCATTTCCTTACTTTGCACTCAGTATTCAGCCCATTCCATTCTGGTTTCTGCACCACCATGCTACCTGATTGGCTAATCATCAGGGTCCCTAATGACACCTCCATATCACTAAATCCAAATGGCATTACTCACCTCACTTTACTTTGAAAGTACTGTCAGTGCTGATCAGTTACTCCTTAAAACATTCTTCTTTGTGTCCATATTACTACCCCTGTCCTGATTTCTTACTGTGGCCACTTTGCAATATTCTTTGCCAGCTCATTTCTTTCTTTTTATTCTTTATTTTATTTATTTTTAATTTATTTTTTGAATTGAAACATAATTGATTATGCATATTTATGGGGTACAGAGTTAACTACCAATGTCTATGTATAGTATGTGAAGGTCAAATCAATATTATTAGCATGTTCATCATTACAAGTAATTATTCTTTGTGTCCCTTACCCAATTACTCCATAACCCCCCTCCTCTTCCCTTTTCCTACCTCTAGTAACTATAGGTCTCTTCTCTCCTTCTGAAAGTTCAATGTTTTATTGTGGTCAGTCGGTCTCTCTCTGTCTCTCTGTCTCTCTCTCTCTGTCTCTCTCTCCCTCCCTCCCTCTCCCTTTCTCTCCCTTTCTCACCGCGCTCAACCAGTGAGCGGACCGGTCTCTATATGGGATCCGAACCCTCGGCGGGAGCGCCGCCGCTCTCCCAAGCACCGCACTCTACCGAGTGCGCCACCGGGCTGGCCCGTTATTCTGTTTTTGATAATAGCCATTCTAGCTGGGGTAAAATATTTCATTGTGGTTTTGATTTGCGTTTCCCTGATACTTAATGATGTTGAGCATTTTTTCATGTACCTGTTGGCCATGTATATGTCTTCTTTTGAAAAATGTCTCTTTGCCCAGTTTTTTTTTTTTTTTTTTTTTTTTGTCTTTTGTCTTTTTCCGTGTCCGGCAATGGATCGCAACCCTCAGTGTTGCCCCCATACCGGACCGGGGACCGGCAACGGGATTGCAACCCTAGGTGCTGCTCCCGCGCCTCGCTCAGCCCGTGAGCGGGAACCGGTCTGTATGTGGGATCCGAACCCTCGGGAGGGAGCGCCGCCGCGCTTCCCAAGCGGCGCACTATCCAGTGCGCCACCGTCTTTGCCCAGTTTTAAATAGAATTTTTTCTTCTTTTTTTTTTTTAAACTGTGAACTTGTTTGAGTTCCTTTTATGTTTTGGATATTAACCCCTGCCAGATATGTAGTTTGTAAATAGTTTCTCCCATTCTGTAGGTTGCCTTTTCACTTCGTTGATTGTTTCCTTTGCTGTGCAGGAGCTTTTTAGTTTGCTATAATCCCACTTGTTTATTTTTTCTTTTGTTGCTTATGCTTTAGGGGTCTTATTCATAAAGTCTCTGCCCAGTCCTACATCCTGAAGTGGTTCTCCTATGTTTTCCCCTAGGAGTTGTATAGTTGCAGGTTTATATTTAAGTCTTTATCCATCTTGAGTTGATTTTGGTATATGGTGAGAGGTGTGGGTCTAGTTTCATTCTTCTACAAATAGATATCCAGTTTTCCCAGCACCATTAATTGAAGAGGCAGTCTTTCCCCAATGTATGTGCTTGAAGCCTTTGTTGAAGATCAGTTGGCTGTAAGTATGTGGGTTGATATCCGGGTTCTCTATTCTGTTCCTTTAGTCCATGTGTCTCTTTTTATGCCGGTACCATGCTGTTTTCATTACTATAGCTTTGTAGTATAATTTGAAGTCAGGTAGTGTTATGACTCCAGCTTTATTTATTTATTTTTGCTGAGGATTGTTTTGGTCATTTGAGGTCTTTTGTTTTTCAATATGAATTTTGTTTTTTCTATTTCTGTGAAGAATATCATTGGTATTTTGATAGGGATTGCACCAGTATGTAGATTGCTTTGGGCAGTATGGACATTTTCACAACATTAATTCTTCCGATCCATGAACACAGAATGTCTTTCCATCTTTTTGTGTCCTCTTTAACTTCTTTCAACAGCATTTTGTAGTTCTCCTTGTAGAGATCTTTCACCTCTTTGGTTAAATTTACTCTAGGTATTTTATTCTTTTGGTAGCTATTGGAAATGGGCTTGCTTTCTTGATTTCCTTTTCTGCTTATTTGTTGGTACATAAGAATGCTACTGATTTTTGTGCATTGGTTTTGTATCCTTCAATTTTACTGAATTTGTTTATGAGCTCTAGGAGTTTTTTGGTAGAGGTTATGGGATTTTCTATACATAGGATCATGTCATCTGCAGACAGTGACAATCTGACTTCATCTTTTCCAATTTGGATGCCCTTTTTTTCTTTCTCTTGCCTGATAACTCTGGCTAACACTTTCAATACTATGTTGAATAGAAGTGGTGAGAATGGACATCCTTGTCTTATTCCTGTTCTTAAATGAAAAGCTTTCAGTTTTTCCCCATTCAGGATGATGTTGGTGGTAGTTTTTTTGTATATGGCTTTTATTGTGTTGGGATACTTTCCTTCTGTACCTAATTTGTTGAGAGTCTTTATCATGAAGTGATGCTGAATTTTGTCATATGCTATTTTCTGCATCTTTTGATATAATCATATGGTTTTTGTTCTTGCTTTTGTTGATGCGTTGTATCACATTTTTGATTTGCATGTGTTGAACCATCCTTGCATCCCTGGGATGAATCCCAGTAGTTCATGATGTATAATCTTTTTGATGTGCTGTTGTATTCAGTTTGCTAAGATCTTGTTGAGGATTTTTGCAACTATGTTCATCGAGGATACTGGCCTGTAGCTTTCTTTTTTTTTTGTTGTGTCTTTGTCAGATTATGGTATCAAGGTAATACTCAGCTTGTAGAATGAGTTTGGGAAAATGGCCTCTGTTTTAATTTGTTGGAACATTTTGAAAAGGATCTATGTTAATTCTTCTTTAAAGGCGTGGTAGAATTCAGCAGTGAAGCCATCTGGTTCTGAGCTTTTCCCTGTTGGGAGATTGCTAATTACTGCATCAATTTTGTTGGTCATTACTGGTCATTTCCTGCTTTCTGTCTTCTCAGTTCAGCATTGGTTGTTTACGTGTCCAGGAATGTATCCATTTTTTCCAGATTTTCAAATGTGTTGGCATATAGTTGTTTATAATACTTTCTAATGATTCTTTGTATTTTTGTGATATTGGTTGTAATGTCTCCTTTTTCATTTCTGATTTTTGTTATTAGGGTCTTCTCTCTTATTTTTTTAATTAGTCTGACCAGTGTTTTGTCTATTTTGTTTATCCTCCCCCAAAAC